GGGTTGTCTTGCTAGACTTGTTTTACCATTGTCGAAATGTCCGAGTCTGATCGGAGGGTCCCGAGATGGAGGATTCCTCCGCGGATCGTGTGGTGTCATGGGCTAAGTTGGGACACCCCTGCAAGGTTTAAACTTTTGAGAGTCGTGCCCGCGGTTATGTGGCAAATAGGAGTTTTTAATATCCGGTTGTAGAGAACTTGACACCAGATTCGAATTGAAATACACCAATCGCGTGTGTAACCGTGATGGTCTCTTTTCGGGTGAGTTCGAGAAGAGAACATGATTGGGTTATGTTTGAACGTAAGTAGTTCAGGATCACTTCTTAATCATTACTAGTTTGCGACCGTTTGCGTAGATTTTCATCTTATTCTTGTATCGTAAGTTAGCCACCATACAAATGCTTAGTCGCTTGCTGCAACCTCACCGCTTATCCTTTCCATACCCATTAAGCTTTGCTAGTCTTGACACCCATGGTAGTGGGATTGCTGAGTCCTCGTGGCTCACAGGTTACTACAACACCAGTTGCAGGTACAGGTAATGCGATGATCATGACGTGAGAGCGATGTTTGCTTGTTTTGGAGTTCTTCTGCTTCTTCTCCGTTCAGGGGATAGGTTTCTGGTCGCCAACCTGTGCTAGCAGGGTGGATGTCATTTGAGTTTCTATTTGTATTTCATCTGTAGTCGGATGTTGCTCTTATGTATGATGTTATTGTATTCATGTGGTATTTGTATGCCTTTTGTATGTACCCCCATCCATTAGGTAATGGTACGATGTAATGATATCCACCTTACAAAAGCGTCTTCAATATGCGGCTCTATCCTTGATGGGACCTTCGAGTTCCTTTCGGATAGGATCGCATATTGGGCGTGACATTAGCACCCTGGTAACCAAAAATAGCATAGTAAGGTAGATAACTCTGATAATTAGAGCTTGAGAACCCGATAATCCACCTCTCAGCCTTGCAAAAGCGTCTTCAATACGCGGCTCTATCCTTGGTGGGACCTTCGAGTTCCTCTCGAATAGGATCGCATATTGGGCGTGACATTAGCACCCTGGTAACCAAAAATAGCATAGTAAGGTAGATAACTCTGATAACTAGATCTTGAGAACCCGATAATCCACCTCTCAGCCCAGGCTCAGATGAGCCTGGTGAATAGTAATGTCATAAAAATTAGAAAAAAAATCAATTCTTTTTGCAAGCAAGATGCGCATGTGCGTGATGTTCATGCAAAATTTGATGGAGATTGGACATTCTAGGAGCGCGCGGCAAAAAGATAAAATCGGGCATGAATAATGTTGTTTTCAAATGTTTCTCACAAACCTGAATTTTTGTCACGATCTCCTCGAATGTCCAAATTTCATGAAATTCTGCATGAACATCACGCATTTCAGCATCTTGCATCACAAAAATATTGAATTATTTTATTTTATTTTTATTTTTAACGCCGGTACTGTTCATGCGCGGGCTCATCTGAGCCCAGGCGCCAAATCATCGCTCTTGTGAGAACCATAATAATTTAGCACCCACAAGTCACTATCCCCATCACAGCCTTCACTGCTGGCACTGTCACCCAAAGTAGCAAACCTTGGTTCACGCAGACCACAAAAATTAAAATCAAAAATTTGGAAAGAGGCAGAACCAATCTATATTGATGGAATGCTTGCACAAGGACGTTGCACTTACTGCAACCAACTATTTCCTGCCTCAAAAAAGTTAGGGACAAGTCATATCAATAAACATTTGTTGGTATGTGAGGAGAGATCTAAAATGGATGGTATGGTTGCCAAGATACGAACTAATAGTGCAATTGATCCAGAGTGGAAATTTGACCAAGGGCGTGCACGTAGAGCACTGGCAAAGTTGATTGTGCTACATGAATTACCTTTCACTTTTGTTGAATATCCTGGCTTTAGGTCCTTTGTTAAGACCTTGAATCCATGGTTCAACGTGGTATGCAGAGAAACAATTAAGCAAGATTGCATTGATGCATATGATAGACACAAAAAAGAAATTCAAGCACTTTTTAGCAATCTAAGTTCTCGAGTATCATTAACGGGTGACATGTGGACATCCAATCAGAAGCTGGGTTATTTATGCATAACTGCCCACTTTATTGATGGCTCATGGACTCTACAAAACAGAATAATCAGATTTTGCCTCCTGGAAACTCCGCACAACGCTCATAACATGTTTGACATGGTGCAAAATAGCTTAAGAAATTGGAAAATTGAAGACAAAATCTTTAGCTTTACCCTAGACAATGCATCAGTTAATACCTCGATGGTTGGCCACTTGAGAAAAAAATTGGCAGATAGGTATCTTCTACATCATAGTGGAAAATTATTGCATGTTAGATGTGCTGCACATGTATTGAATCTAGTGGTGCAAGATGGGCTCGACGCAATGGCGTCAGTTGTTGATAGAATCAGAGAATCGGTGCAGTATGTCAAGAGTTTGCAAGGTAGAATGGAGAAATTCGATGCGATGATTGTGCGGGTGGGACTTGCTTGTAAAAACCATCCTACGCTAGATGTGCCTACCTGATGGAATTCAACGTACCTAATGCTTGAATCCTCATTGCCGTTCAGAGCAGCGTTCGAAGCCTTGAAAGAAGCTGACAAAGATTATAAATTTGCTCCTTCGGCTAGTGAATGGGACATGGCCGAAGCTATTTGCCATCTTTTGGGCGCTTTTTACACAGCCACAAAGAAAATCTCGGGTAGGACATATCCCACCTCTCACCTATACTTCTATGAGGTCTGGAATGTGAAGCAAATAATGGAGAGAGAAGTCGTAAGTGAAGATCCTACCATTGTTGCCATGGTGAAAGAGATGGAGAAGAAATGGATCAAATATTTTGAGGAGTCATTCTTAACAAGTTGTCTGCCGGTGATATTTGATCCAAGGTACAAATATGAATATGTTGGCTTCCGACTGACCGCAACTTTTGGTGGTGGCGCAGAGAAATATCTTACCCAAGTGAATAGTGTGATGAAGATCCTATTTGCTGAATATGCATCTGAATTTGGAAACACTTCTGATGAAGGTGATGAGGTTGTAGAGGAGGATGGTGAGGGCACTCTTGATGACTGGGATAAGCATTTGAGATTGAAAAGATCCCACAACTCAAATGAGCTACAGCGATATCTTGAAGATTTGTTTCCTCGCCGACAGAAATTGGATATCTTAAAGTGGTGGGAGATTCACTCCCCAAAGTATCTGGTGCTTGCAGCTATAGCACGGGACATATTGGCAGTGTCCGCGTCTACAGTGCCTGCAAAGGCTGCATTCAGCAATGCAGGAAGGATCATCACTGAACAAAGAAGTAGTTTGATCCCGAGTACTGTTGAGACGCTGATGTGCCTCAAGGATTGGTTTCGAGCAGCTGGTAATATGTTTTTTATTATTTTTCCGTACTTTACATAATACCTTCCATGTTGAATGTTTCATTTCGAATGCCTTCAATATTGCAGATCGCCAAAAGGCGGAACCAACAGTTGGAGACCATGGTGGTGATCAAGAGGATGATCCTCTGGAACCACCTAAGGTAATTATGCTAGTTGTGCTTTGCACTTTTTGTTCCTTCACCAAAAATACTCTCTTCACCACATCTGACTGGATGACTGCTAGCTTATGGGGTCACAGCTAATTGCAAGCTGGAGGAATGCATACAAGGAGGTGGTGGTTTCAATTTGTTTCAATGGCAAATGTTATATCTGGTTCACTTTATGTGAGCAGCAGCTTTGCACTCGGGGAGGATTCTTTCTAGGTGTTTTGCAAAGCAGGCAGGCCCTTGCTGGTTAGTAGGTCTGGGTGGAGAAACAGGGGAGGGGTCAGTAGATAGATGGTTTGCTTCACTGGTTTCTCATCTTCTTCCTCTTGTGTGCCTGCCTTCATCTGCTGTTAGTTGCAGACATTTGTCGAAGGGGTTTTAACCTCCTTTTCTAGAAAAAAGAAGAAAAATGTCAAAGAAGAAAAGCCTTCAGAAATCTAGTTGGACAAAATAGTTTCAGTTTTTTGGTAAACATTGCCACCCAAGCTGGCCGTCTCATGTGTGCAAGTAATTACTAATAAGCATTCTTTGTTTCTTCAGGAGAAGTAGAAAGTTGTCAACTTCATGCACTCATGGCAAAAGAAGAAAAAGTTGTTAGGACATGTTCTATGAAGCTACAAAGTTCAGTGTTGCAGTTTTACGGGCTAAAAATTTATTCTATGAAGCCTGACTTGGCAGCCAACGTATCCTCGTCGCATGTCTACTTGATCAGTAGTAACTGGAGGTTTAATGGATTCATCCGTATATATAACTGAAGGTTTAGTGCATTCGATCGATTCATCTGTATCTGTAACAGAACGTTTAGTAGGATCTGATCGATTCGTCTATCTATGTAACTGAATCCATGCTGCTGCTCAGTTGCATACCAGGTTTGCTCAGTTGCTCAGTTACATATATGGCTATGAAGTGTGATGTTTGAATTGCAAATGTATTTGTTAGGTGAGATCCCACTTGTTCCCACCTAATTTATGCTAGAATTGGTGGGATGCCCACTTTTTAACATCAGAACATGGTGGGACGTGGTGGATTGTAGGTGGGACTCCCACAGAGTCCCACCTGCAGCGTGAAAGACGCAAATCTCAATGGATCTGGTCGGTTCAGATTCCTGGTGCAGGAAAGCTCGGCAGCCAAATTGAGTTTCCGCCACCAAAACCACTTTCTATACCACCAGCAAGCATGGTGGATCCGAAGTTACCACACACTGAAGAGTATGACAAGATTATACAAACCTGAAGAAATAAGCGCAAGCACGCCTGCATACTGATCCTGTGAAAATTTTGTTATTGAGCTATTGTTTCTAAATTGCCTGCAAAATTGATTATTGCTTGACAAATGGAATCCCATATCAGCCATTCTACTCCCAGAGAAGATGCATCCGCAGTTGGCTAAGAGAACACATGAACATGCAACAATAACAAAACTGAACACTGCAATTTGGGCAACTACTATTTCGAAGCTGGTTCTGTCGACTGTCTCCCGTGTAACCGGAATAGCAAAGACGATTTTGACATCTGATGCTCTCTCTCAAGTGCCGCAACCACATCCTTCACCGTGATGCTACGCGCCACTTTCATGTGTGCTGACCTTCTAACGCCACCTAATGAAAAAACACAACATACTCAGGGTTAAATAAGTGTAGGCATGGCAGATACTCTCAGTTAGGCCTGGAATATTTATTTCCTTTATTCAACTCCCAGAGGCTGATTTATTCCTATATCCATTTTTCAGGATAATTAACTGATCTGTTGCTTGATCTAAAAAAGACTGATTTGTTGCTTCCCTTTGAAAGAGATTGGCATTGCTCTTCTATTTCTTTTACAGAGAAACTCACCACAAATGATCAACTAATCAATCCCAGAAGACAATCTTAACAGATAAAACTCTTCCTAATTTAACAAGAATGAATTTTCTAATGAGAACAGCTAGGATAAAATAGGCATCGTTTTTATGTACAAGAAACAGACAACCAACGAGTTGAATATATACTCAAACGTAGGTTGTAGCAGTCTAAACCCACATCCCAACTGAACTAATAGTACGATTCGTCAACAAAACCATACCCTTCACAACTAGGAGTACTACTCATGCATCCTTTGGTTTATGGTCCTGGTCCTTGCATTGCAGCTCATCATTGGTTTGTGCTTTGGTGGCAGCTCGTGGTATTAGGTGCCTCCTCGTATGCCCGCGCCATACTCATGGCCAAATGCAGGTCCTGCGGATACCACAATTCAACATCGATGTGATCTACCAATCCTGCCATGAACAGCTGTGCTTGTTGCAACAATGTGAGCTTCCCAGGTGGTTGCTGCACATTGGAGAGGCGAAAACAAGATGCAGGCACTCCTTGCAATACAGCCATGTCAGCACACCTCTATCACGTTCCAGCCAGTAGTAGGTCTACAGTAGTCTCTTGCAGTTTGGGCCCCAGCTGCCCGATCCTTCCACTCCCCTCCAATCGCTCCATGGCAAACGAACCTGCTGCCTCGGCCCAACATGCCATGGAGCAAGGAATTCTGGCCAATAAGTATAGTCCACGGCATCTCGAAGTTAGTTGCTTAGGAGTTGTCCCTCTGCCTCGCCCTGGTTTTGCCTTCCATCGTGTCGACCAATGAATGTGCTTCTATCAAATGGGGATCAATCCAGGACAACTTCATGTTGGTTCAAATGATGACCAAATCAATTCATGCTGCGAATCAACCAGTGGTGCTCCTAGAGTTGAAAGTTGGAAGTTGCCCATGCTTTTGACTCGGTTTCCTGTTTTTTTTTTTTGCTTCAGCTGTTTTGTGCTTTGCAGTGCGTTGGTGCAAATGACCTGGACTCTTGTCTCCATCATGGCAAGCACTTGGGTGTTGGTGAATTCCGTGCCGGGCGAACCCATTTCTCATCGCCACATGCTGCGGCAGAGCAAGAGTACCCCTTGTCCCCCATGTTGTCTGCCATGGCCATGGAGGTCCTTAATAAGTTGATTGCTATGGCTACTGATCACTGGATTTGGTCCCACCCCCCTGTGCCTTTCTATGTGGACGGTGCCATTGTCTTCCTCAAGCCGACAGTCCAGTAGTGCGAGGTTGGTGCGGAGCACCCCCATGGACACCCCCCCAGACGCACAAGTGCCATTGAGACCAAGGTGAATTCGGTCCTTTTGAACTTCCTATGCATTCATATGAGACATGGCTACTACCTCAAACGGGGACCCTACACATACCCAGGTAACAAGAATCGACCATGGAGAAGTGAGGGAAGAAGGCCAAGTCCTGGCGGAGGAGAAGCAAGAAGACAAGGAAGAAAGGCAGTCAAAGCCAGAGTAGCTAGAGTCCGACCACCAACCTGGACGTCCGACGTTACAACGGACGGTCCAGTCACCAAACCACACGTCCATCTTGACGGGCGCTGATTTTTCATCCGGACTTGGCCCGGACAGTTCGGCCTGGAGCCCATACTTCCGACCCCTAGAGGACGTGTCATGCCTGAAGAACATGCCAGGCGAAACCGCACCTGCTGCAGCCGTCGGATGTCCGCTAACAACCCGGACAGTCCGGCTTGAGCCTGGACGTCCAGACACCAACCTGGTCGCCCGGCCTGCGTACAGTTTGGCCAAAAGCCATGTATCCCTCCCTCCCACCTACTCTAGTTCGTCCTTAGACTATATAAACCAGCCCCCTCTCACTTTCTAGGGTTAGCAAAGCATATTATAACTACCTGAGAGCTTTGCTCATCTAACCCTTCTCTTTGGAGATCAAGGCCTCCATTAGGAGAAGAATCTCAAGGGATTACCAAGACCTCCAAATCCATAGGATTGGGGAAGATCTATCTCTCAAGACCTCACTTCTCCTTAGAGATTTGGGAATCACTTTACCTAGCTACTTGTTCTTTTTGTTGATTGTGAATCTAGTAGTGTCTCTTTGCTTGGATGCTTGGATAGCACATGTGTGATGTGAATCTAGTTCATATAGTGATTTCCTCTTGTGTTTCGTGAGTTATTTGAGTTCTTCCTCTTGCTCTCCTCCAAATTGTGAAGAATTGGCACAAATTGGGACTTGGTCCTACATCATTTGGTATCATGAGCTTGGGTTGGACAATTTGGAGCCTCTCCCCCTCACCCTTCTAGCCTAATTTTGTTTTGTTCTTGCCGAATTTGAAAATCCCCACAAAAATAGCCTCTTCAATTTCTTGCAATTTATTGGTTCTTGTGAGATTTTGTTGGTTTCGGTCCATGGATTTGATATGCTACTAGTAGTTCTAGCCTCCCTTCGCATTGCCTTAGCCAATTTCCCTGATGTCCCCCTAAAAAATTCCGTTCATCCTCCCCAAATTCAAGATCCAATTCCGCATGAAGAACACCCGAGTTGACCTGCCCGGTCGTCCAGCCACCAACCCAGACATCCGACCAAAGCCCGGAATCTGGCTAGCTACTCGAACGTCCACCTCCCTTTGAAAACTGCTGAATTTTTCTTGGTTTTCCCTTGTGCGATTTGAGTTGTTCTTCCGTTTCGGTCTCGTTACCAAGGTGATTTGGCTGCTCTAGGGACTGTTTCACCATCTACATCAACCGTCATCTCCGCCACCAACAATTGCATCAACGACAACCACTACTCCCTTTGACAACACAACTGAAAGCAAGGTTGGTTCCCCTCCGACCTCGGTAAAGGTATCCATTCCATCAACCATTATCTTCCCTTGCCATTGACTTGATAGCCCCACCAAATCTTTGTGACTACCTCATTACCTATAAGACTAGCTATTTGTGCAAAACTTGTCTTGCATATTTTGTCAAGGCTCAGGTATATTGGTAAAACAAGATATAGCAAAAAAGAGTGGAAGAAAAAGATACAAGCTTATTATCAAAGAGTTGAGCATCATACATATTTGTGACAAGCATACTTGGGATAGGAAAAAGATACGCTTGATCTTGTAGTTTGGTGCACAAGTGCGAATCTAGCCCACGAGAGCAATCAAACTAGCGTCTCTCCAAGTGTTGTGCAACACGAGCTTAGTCGTTGCTAGGCAAAACTAGTATGCTCATTCCTTGTTTGCACAAGACCTTGCTCTATCTCTCCTCTTTGATCTACTTGTATCATATTTGCATTTTGGATCTTACTCAACATTTTCAACATCTTGATTCACTATTGCATGATATTGTGTGTCACCATTGCACCTTTGAAGTCTCACTGGCGCAAAGCACCCAATGGTCATCCCCATGGATTCTACACCAACACGCACCAAGTGGACCGATGACAAGAGCCCGTGCACTGCCATTGAAGATAAGGTTAAGCCACTCCTTGAACTACCATTTCCTACATGTGCGACACTAAACGTTAGTCCTATGCCTACTCAGGTACCAAGGAAACAATCATGAAGAAGCTCGAAGCGAAGACCAAGCTAGCACAGAATCAGAGCGGAAGAAGTACCAAGTGGAGCTGCTGAAAACTACAGTGACCGGACATTTGGTGCATCCACCAGACATTCGTACCACACGAAGAGGGTCGGCGAGGAGCATCCAAAGTCACGACGTGCTCAAGCGACCGCACATCCAGTGCATACCGGAAATCCGGCGAAGGAGCAACGGAAGCTGGGCCAGCCTGACTGGACATCCGGTGCTACCTCGAATGACCCCATACATCAGGTAGCTACCTACATACAAAACCAGCCAAGTGCCTTGTATCTCTCTCTCCCACCTACCCTATCTCGCCTAGCACTATATATATTCATATCCTACCTCCTAGTTAGGGTTAGCAAAGCATATTAGACTAAATTGAGAGAGCTTTGCTCATTTACCCCATCCCCATTGGAGATCAAGGCCTTCTTTGGAGAAGAATCCCAAATGATTTCCAAGACCTCCCATCCTCTTGTGGATTGGAGAAGACTACCCCCATCAAGACCTCATCTCCTCTTGGATTTGGAATGAAATTACCATCGCTACTCTTTTCCCTTTGTTGTTCATGTACCTTTGTGGATCTCCTGTGTGTTTGCCTTATAGTGGATGTGTAATTGGATCTTGAGTGAGTGATTACCCTTTGTGTTCTTGAGTGTCCTCTTGATCCACTCTAACGGACATTCGGTCCCACCGGACATCTGGTCCACTACCAGGCATCCAGCCCTTCAACAAAAAATCCACCAAATCTTCCGCAATTTCATTTCCATTTCGTTGGTGGTTCTTTGAGCTTGCAGTTTTCGTTTCCTAAGGTGTTTCGGCTACGTAGGGACAGCTACGTCATCAACATCACCCCATTCTTCACTGCCAACGAATTCTTCAACGACAATGACCACTACACCCTTGGACACCACAACCGGAAGCAAGGCCGGTTACCTCTCCGACCACGACGAAGGTACTGTGTTGACGAAGGTATCCATTTCGTCACCACTTATCTTCCCTTGCCATTGCATTGATAGCCCCGAGCCTTTTGCGTACCATACCCACTAAGACTAGGGATTTGAGTATTGTTAGGCCACATTACTTGTGCACTATAGTGATACGCCATCTTCCATATCTTGGTATCTTGTGTGTCATAAGTTACTCCCGTGCATATCATACATACTTGTCTTGCATATTGGCTCGAGCATCAAGCATAGTGGTAAAGGAAGCCTATAAAAAAAGCTTCT